GCTGCCTTTGAAATGAAGGACAAGCCAACAAGAGGGCTCAGTGCTGATAGACTTGGCTCATGATTGACAAGTTGGCACATGTATGTTTGAGAATAAACGACAGACTCACGACAACATTACATTCACTCCAGTAATGATTAATATAAGTTTGAGGATATAAATAGAGACTAGAGTGAGAAAAGATTAAAAGGTGAGTCCAGCTTTTAAAGGACAGAGGTAATGAATTCATTATTTATTAATTATACAGCTAGAGTACAGTAGGCCTGTGTGGTATTCAATAGAGTAGATTCAGTACAGTAGGGAACAGGGACGTCCCCTGTGAACCAGGAGGACAGGGAGGGGAGGCTGGCAGAGGAATGCTGCTGTATACAGCCTCCTGGAACTGAACAAAACCAGGCATTCCTCATGGAGATGTTTATGCTCTGCAGCGTGGTGTGGTCCATCCTCACTGGATCTATTATTGTTATCGTCAGCAGCATGCGCATCCAACAGAAATAAAACACATTCAGAAAATAAATGTTGACACACTGTGAACAGCTTGGTTTGGCTCCTTGTAGAAAAGAGAACATATACCCCATTTTAGCAAAGACTGAAGAAGGAATAGAGTTTGTTGATTTCACTGAGAATATAAGCCCATGAACCTGCCGATGTAGAAATAATTTAGGAATATATATTTAAAAAAAAAGATTTTTAAATCTCCCCAAACCATTTTTGGACTGTGATCACTCAGGTGACATTTCATGCCTATGCCAACAGTATCAACAAAAGGATGAGCTTTCAATAATGTGTAATGCAGAATTCAGGTTCTTTTCCCTCAATATCCCTTTTCCTTTAGACTTATATCGCATTACCTGACAAGCTTTGGCTATTTTCTCTGATCAACCCAAAACATGTCCCAACTACTGCCAATATTTTGTCTCAGTTTTGACACCCAATCATGAAGTATGAATCAGTTTTTGCATTAGCTTAGTGGTCCAATGCATGATTTTTTTTCCATGTCCATATGCTTGTGTAAGGACTTACTTTACTTTACTACACTTTACTACATGATGATACATTTATGTGAGGGCAACCATGACCTTGAGTGCACCAGAGTACTGGCTGGCATTAACGTATGGGATGCAGCCTGTCCCTATCAGCTGTGAGACTTATATGGCTGTAAATTTCCTCTCTTGCAACAGCAGGGCTACAAACATCAGAGGGACTGCTGTTGGCTCTGCTCCAGAGGCACTCTGAGAGAAACTGAAGTTCTCTATAAGACAGACACAAATGTACCCCAATATATTTCTGCCTAGATTTGCTTTTCATTTATCAGGCGTTTTTTTTTTTCTGGGTTTCAATCTATCCTGTCTCTCTGCCTGTCCGTCTTTCCTTTTCTATATCTTCCTCTCTCTCCCGCCTTGTCTCAATAGAGTGCATTCCAACAATTCTTCACTGTCAGCCCCTCTCTCTCATTCAGACCCATTCGTTAGCTGCTGTTGACAGATCTTTGCTGAGACATGAAGACTTTGAGCTGCTTTAACTCTGTCAAACTGGCTGCAGCCACACTCAGCTCATTCCTGCTGGCTTCAGGATGCAAACTAGAAACAAAAATGCACCTGAGAGCATCTTATTATATAATCAGAATCATTTAGAGACCATTATACAAGTCCAGAATCTAAGCTGTTATTACAGTTTTAGAGAGAGTATTTAGATTAGTTGTTGTGCTTGTGTCTTTGCTGAATGTGAATAAATCAGCCTCTGCACCTGAATCTCGCTTCCTGATTCGTCTTTTGATCAGATTCAGCCACATTCCTCCTCCTGGGATTGGGAAACCTGAGATCCAGGGGTGAGCGGTCATACCCGAGGCTCGAGGGGCCAACTAATGACTTCCCATTAGTCCATTTGGTCTACATGATCCTTTATTATCTCCGAGACACGCGCTGAAGAGAGTCTATCCCCAAGACTAATCGAGGGTCAATTGTCTCCCCTCTTTACTCTGATGCATGTGACAGCCGCCAAACGTGCACCTCTGCACACACACACACACACACACACACACACACACGTGCACATACACAAAGCCACGCTCTTATTGTGCAACACAAATACAGTAGATTCATGTTTTTTTCATCTAGAAAAGCTGACTGTGTGGAGGGGTGGCCCAAATATGCGATTACTGCGTCAAATTAACCACTGAAGCTTTTCAGCCAACGACGGAAAAACGCATGAAATCAAATGCCATCATTGTTCAACAGGAGATTAGTTCAGGGTGCTCTGACCTTCTCCGGATCTTCTGAAAAGCTCTTAAATATTTGAGCGAGTGCTGTCATTTCTCACTCGATTGTTAAGCATAGAGGGCCCTCTGTCCTCTGCTCATGATGAAATTGGTCGTCAGCTATGGACAGTGAGTGTGTGTGTGTGCGTGAGCCAATATTTGAGGGGGTGTGATCTGTTCCACACAACAGTGCTTTAACATGTGTGAATGCTCTGCAACTTCATTGAGTCTGTGTGTATTTGTGTGTGCATTTCGTGAGTGTGTGTGTGTGCGTACATGCAAGAGTTTATTTGCATGCATACAGAATTGAACTTTCCTAGGATATATATGTATATATATATATATATATATATGTACACGTATGAGACTGACACACACACATACACACACTGCTGAGCTTCATGACGGGTGCATGTACAGTACTTTTATGGATGTTTCTTATTAAGTTGTCTCCTCTGCAGGAAATGATGGATGGCCTTCTCTCAGTGGGATTGTGGTGAGATCTTACAGGCGCAGGTGTGAGTGTGTGTGTGTGTGTGTGTGTGTGTGTGTGTGAGAGAGAGAAAGTCCGCTATAGTGTGACATGAATGCAGGTCCTGGTGGGAAAATCCCTACCTCTAGTCAAGAACCTTCTCCCCCCCTCCCTCCTCATCCTCCTCTTCCTTCTCCTCCTCCTTTTTCCTTTCTCCTTAGAAACCAAACACACCACACACTCATGTTTTGGGAACTACAACCTGAACGTAAAATAAAATATGTTTTGACGTGTACAGGGTCATAAAACTGGCAACACTGATAATATAGATAAGAGGAAAAACATTGTCCAAAACAAATTAAAACCCTTAACTTTATCCATATTTTCTTCCCTTTGTAGAAAATACTGTTAGCAGGGGTGGATCTAGAGGGGTGGAATGGGGTGGCAGCTGACGCACCTAAAACAATTCCTGGCCACCCCAATTTGATGTCAACTACTGTTAAATGTAATATATATATATATATATATATATGTATATATTTATATATATATATATGATATATTTTTTAGCTTTTCCAAGCCAATATTGATATGTATTTGATTGTTTGTATTATGTATTTCTGCCACCCCTTAAAGTCTCCATGCCACCCTTTTGCCATCCCATGAATATTTCTGATAACAAATCTGCCTCTGTTAGTATAAAAAAAGTGTCTTTGGGGCCTTAGAATGAAAAAAAAAAAAACAGCAACAAAAGTACATGTTTACATATATACAATAAGATCTGATGTGCAGTTTGATCGTCTCACTTTGCATCACCACCATTTCCTTAGTGTTGCATTACTGGTATCCCAAGTCACAATTGTTACCCCATACTACCAGTGTCCTTGGCCAAACGTGCAAATATGAAACAGAGTGTAAATATAGCTCCATAGCTCATGCTGTTTCCTCCATTGACTCTTGTTAGAAAAACAATGGCATCCTATTATTCACTGGGCCATGATTGAACTGGAAGAAAAGACTTGACTAACTGTGGGGACATTGTTCGTGCAGCTACAGTACAGTGGCGTTTGAGCAAACTGTCTTAAATGTCCTCAGTCAGAAACAATGTAGGAATTTATTGAGCAGTTTCGTTCTTTTATTCGCTTCACCTTTCCAATGTTTTTTTTCCACGATAAAAACTTTTTTGCTCTTTTCCCCCCCTGTCACATATTATTAGTCCTCGAGGTTGGCTGGCTGGCATATTACTATTTTTGGGGCTTGGGGTCGGCTGAGTTTGAACATGCAGAGTCCCCGTCAGGCATTGTTCAAAAATGTTCCCTAAACATGAGTGACCGTCAAAGGTCAGGACTCTGAGAATAACTCCTGTGATATTTAGAAACACCTTTTGTTTCCTGATAGCCCAGCCAGCGGTGATGCTGAGGTAACAAGAGGAGTCAGTTGGCATGGCAACTATCCCTGTGACCTCTCCAGCAATAGTACCTGCACAAAGGTCTGTTATGCAATAGGTTGAATTTAGGGTCATGGGTTATTCATAAGTTTTGACTTTGCTTGAAGCAGCTTTTGTTTTACATAAACTTAATGAATAAAAGCAGTGAATGCGAGTTCATGATACATTTTTCACTTCTAAGAGAGAAAAAAAAGTCAGGCAAACTTTCTGTTCATAAATAAAGTGTAAAAAAGAGTAAAATGAGTCTGTTGTGCATAAACCATAGTGGAGAAAGTATTTAAAGTTACTAACTTAAGTAAAAAGTGTTCAATATTATACTCAAGAACATAAATATGCCAGTAAAAGTATAGTTGGTGTGAGTGTTATATTATTGGATAACTGATGAATTCATGTATAAGTAGCATTTTACTATTATAGTTTGTCAAGTTAGAGCCAATTTAACTTTATACAGGATACTGTTGGGTAGATTAATCTGAATAATCGCATTTTATTACTTGAAGATATGTTTTGTATGACAAAAAGCAAAAAAAACAAAAGTACAATACTCGAGTAAAGCACTTAAGTATCACTTTATGATCACCTCTCATTAAGAAAACACTGACATTAGGCTGTTAATTTTACACCCTTGGAGTGAATAATACTCATAAGTTAAGTAAAATTTCAGCTCATGTAGCAAAAAAACAGAACTCAGATCCACAGACAAGCCCACGGGCACTTGGCCCAGCCTCAGGAATATCTGCATAAATGATTCACGAGAGAGGAAACATGGCTCAGAATGGCCGGTGTTTGTGGACTAATGTCGCTTCTTTGTGCGCAGATTATCACCCATTCTTCAGGCAGGGGGCGGGAGAGAGATACTGTAGAGCAGACCAACAGCAGGCTCTTGGAAATCTGCTCTTCCCCTCACCACCACCACCGCTGCGTAATCAGGCAGGTCCAGGGCTGAGGCGCACCGAGCCACACAGAGCTTTGCTTATTGATAAGACTCCTTGGAAGACTCCCGTGCGACGTTATTTCAGACGCTCAGCTCGTGAGCTGGACTTTTGGACGCATCACGGTTAAAGAGACCCTTGACAATTGCGACAAGCGGAGTGAATTGGATTTTTTTCATTTATGATCCTTGGAATAATTGAAACTTTACTTACTTTTCTGAGTGTGTCCTGGATAGTTTTGGACCGTTGTTGCTTGGAAATGTCTTTGAATACTTTCTTAATTACATTTATTGCCGTTCACTTGCGCGTTTAGCAGAAAAACGCAAACTTGTGCGCAAGTGAAGTAAATAGAGAAAACTGAACACCACGTTGAAGAGAAAGTGAACTTGGAGGTTTATTATTAATCCAGCACGGAGGAGTTTTTTTTGTTTTTTTTTTAACAAGAGTGCACGAGCGCTTTCTCCTTCTTCTTCTTCTTCTTCTTCTTCGGATATCTCTGCTGGAGAGACAACAGTGTGGACAGGCCATCTACGCGCGCGCAGCTCCTCAGGGCGAGCCGCTGTCCCCCCGCGCGCAGTGCTGAGGAGAGAGGGACTCTCGCGCTTCCATAAATGCCCGGTCCGTCGAAGAGGCTCGAGGCTGGGCAGCAAGATGAGCTCGTGGGTACAGCTGCTGCTCGTGTTGCTGGCGGCGTGTCTGCGGTTTGGCGTGGCCGAGGTGAGTTTGCGTCAATCACAGTTTGAACGAACTTTCTGATGCTTCGCCTATAAGAGGGTCCTCTATGATACTTTACAGAACAGACACAACAAAAGCGAATGCTGTTTAAATCATTTTATAGGATTGTAGCAACTATATTTTAGGAGAACATTTTAAAGTATGGTAAAATACTGCGTATGATAAATGTAGTTTTTTCCCCCACATATAAACCCATTGTATTCTCCTTTGGACCCAAATTCTGAGTAACATTATCAAGAGCATATGGTCGTTCCTCACAAACACAACAGAAGACACACACCAATCAAACCCAGGTGGTTTTTATATAACTTTGGAGTAAGTGCACCTGCTTCAGTCTAGTCTCATAATGAAATCCAGTCTTTCCCTTATTGCTTCTGAGAGGGTTGGGATTGCTTGCAGTAAATAACTGTTATTCCTCCCATTAAGTGGCGTTATGAATGGATGCCCAGGGGCACACGGGCACGCAGAGGTTGTCCTCTGTGGGTGATGAGCCAGGAAACAGAGGCTGCCATGATAGGCTCTTTTACAGCTGGATGCTCCACGTGGGTTAAGGGATGCATTCATGGATGCTATTCCAGATGTTGAGCAACGCCATAAATCACAAGTCAGCGAGCAGCATCACACTGTAACATCATGCTGTAGAGGCCATGTGTCAGTCACAGGAGAAGAACAGGGCAGACAACAGTGGTTCATTAATGAAGACAAGTGCAGAACCCTGCTACATTTTCAGCTGAAAATGTATTTGCCTTTTTTAAGTTTGTGACATTATTGTTGTAGATGAGTTGTTGTTTTCAGTATGAATCTGCCTGAATAACATTTTCTTTAAAACTCGTAAAAGTGAAAAGGCAGTAGGAGGATGGATAGGCGAAGTCTGACCCGTCTGCTGAGGTCAAACCGGAAGACTTAAAGGGACATTGTGTAGTGTTTTAAGTATTTTATTAGCTAAAATCAATGTCTTCATTCATAAATGTGTCCTCATTGATGTAAAATTACCTCTGCCAATGATCTGACTTATCCTATATTTCTTATCTGTATATACATTGGACGGGCAAGTCCGTGGAGGCTTCCATGTCGTTCCGCCATTTGGAAAAACTATAATCGCTGAGTGGGACATAAAGCACTAGCCTACCTGTCTAGCTAATCCACAACGCGTTTTCGTTCAGAGCCAGCGTGACTAAAACCAGCTATAACGGAGAAGGAGATCAGTGAGAGGCGCTTGTCACTGCCCCGGCACATTTGAAAGTCTGCACTGCACTTTAGTTCATAATGGAGGATCAAACTTATGCCGAGCCACAGGAGAAGGAATCCTCACGCCAAAAAAGCGGAAAAGGGAATTAAAAAGGCAACGTGACCGGCGTATTCAAAAAACGCGGGTAAACATCGGGGTAGCTTTTCCCAGGTGGAAAGAGCTAATGAAGGAGAAAGACTTTCAAAGGGACGCTCAAGTTGCCTGCTTTCCCCTCGACAGGCAGGCTTCTTGGTACATGATGGCTACCGTAGTTGCAATACGCATTTGAAACACGAGGCACTAGAGAGCACTATTCGTTTGAATGCAAAATACAATTTCACCGCTAGATGGGAGAAATTCCTACACAATGTCCCTTTAACCAAGGGTCTTGTCAAGGTCAAGTGAGGCTTGAAGATATTTAGAAAAAATCTTGGCCTCCTTTGCTAAAATGAAGTAGGTTCAGATGCGCGTTGAATCTGATGTTATTTGTATTTCTTCCTCTGTTCTGATTCCTTATGTATTTCTGATCCCGGCAATCTTCTCCACAATGAACAGCCTGGGTCAGTCAGTTGGAAAACTAAATGGGGTCAAAACACATACAGTTAACAAGTCGGCTGTGGGAAGCTGACATTTAAATAAGTCAACAAAGAGGGCGCAACCCATTTGTGAGTTTGCCGTAGTTTTCTTTTTTCATTCAGTCAGGTGGAGTGGTTTGGTGTCTGCACATGTTGGAAACTATATTAGCTGTTAATTCAAGTAAAAACTATTAAAAAAAAGAATAGGAAAGAATTTCTGCAGGATGTGAACTGTTCATGTATAATTCCTTTAGCTTCTTATCACGACCTGGCGTCACAATGGGTTTCATTCCTCCTTTCATTCACCGAACCCATACAATTTAGTGTATGCACGTAGTCTTCCATCACCGAGACTCCTTCACATAAAGGTAGATTTAGGGTGAAACACTGTTATGATGGATGGCTTTAAATTCCTGTCATCAACCCGTCGTTTCATTTTATGGCTTCTGTAGGCAGCACATGTAAAAGAAAACTCAAATCTGACAGACCAAGTGTTTTAGAGGGAGAACGTTACAAAGGCTTTGAGGTATAAAACCAGGAATTCCCCGTGTCTAATTTTAAAGTTATAGTATGGCAGCTGCTAAAGTGATGGAGTCTGTACAAGGTTCAATCTCATCCCTTATAACAGTACATTATTGTCAGAAAATGGGTTTAAGACACATCTTGAGAGTGAGTGATAATTTAAAAGTGTGTGAAGTGCTACTTATACTGAGCATATACATTCAGCTATAGACCACCAAAGAGGAATGAACTTTTAAGCTTACACAAACTCATCATTATCTTCAATTGCATCAGGCGCCTTTCCAACTCAGATCAATTATGACAAAGGGATTAATTAAAGTCACATTTATTCACACATTGCCATATTGCACATTTGCAGGCATAGTTTCAGTGACTACATGTGAAACCTCACACGTGTGCTTCCGCCGGCGGCATTATGTACGATTACTCTCCTCCCCTGCCCGCTGCAGCCTGTACCGGGCATTCCTCAGTATGTCCAATAGACCGTCAGGGGATGGGAGCTTGCTCCAGGTGCTGGATTATGTCAAAATTAGGGTTTTTGTTTTAAACTTAAACTCCCAGGAGCATTATTGTATGTGATTGCCAGTGTACACTATAGTAGGCAGTTTGGTTCTATAATACATTTTCTAATAAGTGTTCCCCTATAAGTAGCTTGATATATTGACCGTATAATCTTCATCTTCATCGTACTCGCACGTTGGACATTGTCAATGTGTTTACACATTCTGTCTGCGGAGTTTGAATCAGTTTATGTCTGTTTTATTTATCCGAACCGAAGTGTTTATTTATTATTTCCTGCCACACAAATCGTCCTGACAGCAGGCACCACCATGAACAAAAGGCACACATCCTATAATTAACATCAGACACAATTAGCCAAGCAGCCAGATTTTGTCCGCTGGCGAAGGGAAGAAATCATCGTGATGACTCCTCAGGGGCATCGGCCGCTCCGCAGCAGAGATGTAAGCGTAATACAGCAGGCATTTCCCTGCTGTATAATGTGACTCTCTGAGAAGCCGACCAACAATGGGGAAAGTCAGTGGTGTATAGTATGGGCAGGATGAGAATACTGTTCACGTATGGATGGCTGCTTCCTTTGGCTAAAACCTGCTTCCCGTAGGGATTCATTATATTCTCCAGAACCTGAATAGAATCTCACACGCAAGATAAAGTTAAGGCGTTAAATATTTCACAGTTTGTGTATTTCTTAATACTGTTTATTATATGTTTACTTGTGCACTAGCCAGGCCGCATTTGCTCCTGATCTTCATTGGTTCCATCTCACCGTGAGCTGGCAAACCAAATGAAGCACATCCACAGCATTCAAACCAATGTGAGGAAGTGTCTCGACCCATGTCTGATCCTTGTCCATTTTAACCCGTCTTTTATTCATCTATTATCCCTCTTTTTTTTTCAGATGCACCTCCCTTCTCTCCTCCTCTCCATATCACTCCTTCCCCCACTTCCTGACTCCTTCCTGACTCCTTTGACCCCTAAATGTTAGCAGATGAGAAGACACAACGCCAATAGTCATTCACCCTGCTCTTAGTGACCATTGTGTGTCCGCTTTGGTTAATACCCCACCCCACCCCGCCACCCTTCCTAGCTGTCTTACCCATTAATGACTAGGGGGGTTAAACCCACAGTCAGTCCAAAGAATCACTTTGTGGAGCTGTTGCTTGGTATTTGGTTTTGGAATATTTAGTCAAATGCATGTTGTTTAAGGCAGCAGTTCCCAAACTTTTTCATGTCAAGGGGCTCCCAGTATGAGAGGATTTGCTCTGAAGAAATCCCCTTTTTTAAAATTAGGTTTCAAGATCATAAACTCTTTATAGTCAACCAGTGATCAAACTGGGCTCACTATAGATTACAATAAAAAAACGGCTGACCTAATTTTTTCCCTTGTTGATCCAACTTCCAACAATGTGATAAAAGTTGAAAACCACTGGTTTAAGGATAAGGCGAGTGTTATCTGATCCTTGTTTTTTCTGTAATCAACCAATCCCATAAGAAAAATACCAGAAATGAATTGTCCTACTAACGTTTCCCTGTAGAGCCTCAACCACATATTGTTCATGCTTCCCTGTTCTAAAACCTCATTGTCTTCCACAAGCTATTAAAAACTCATAAAAGACCATTTCACATAGTGATATTTTACTTCACTGCGAGTTACTTTATACAATGTTAAATGGCCCAATCAGTAATTTTAGACCATTAAGATTTGAGGTGTAATTGCATATACAACTGAAGAATTAACATAATTCAATGTAACTCAAGTGTTAACATCCATCACTGATGTAAGCAAACCTCTCACATCCCCGGGAGCATTACAAACTTCGATTTAGATGTCATGTTTCTTGTCTTTGTGTTAAAAGATTTGTCAGTCTCAGAGCGATAGCAGGATTGAGTTTCCAATCTTGGCTTTTGGTTTTTGTCAGAAGGGATACCATTTTGTTTACATTGTGAGCAGATACACACACTGAAACACTTGTGAAATGGTTGTTGCAGACGTGCTGCATTCTTATTCCATTTCCTTGGAGGAATTGTTGAGAAAACTCTGTAATGCCTAATGCCGGATGGATACAGGGGAGGGGGGGATTCTCAAATAGCTTTTCTTCTAGTCATGCGCATAGCTAAAAAAAAAGGTCTGAATGGTTACATGCCTTTCCCCTTTTCACATAATCATGATTTCTTTGGTCTCTTATATTGATTTATATATGTGTGTCTTTCAGGGGGACCCTCTGCCTGCAGCCCTGGTGGAGCTGGTTAGAAACAGCCCCATCTCTTCCATAGAAGACCTTCAGCTGCTGCTGCTCACTGACTCCGTAGGTAAAGACCAGCACATTCTGATATTACTGTTCATACATATGGGTGTTTTTATGGATCCTAATGCAGTTATGTTCTGTCCACATTCTTATTTTAACATCTTAAATATTCACATAAACAGAACCATTTCCAACACTTAATCACTAAATGTAACTAACTAATCTGCCCTAATCCATTTTTAATCATATGCCTAAACCCAGTAATCTAGTTATACAGTAATAAGTGACAATCAAATATGTCAGAATTTTTTTATTTTTTATTTAATTCATGTGAATGCATTACTACTTAAAAAAACATTACAGGACACAGCCAAAGTAGGAACTTTTTTTTTTTATATATATTATTACTTCAGTTTTAAAGATTACATGTAGCCATATGGGTTTAGGAAATTACAAGATTATTTTTAAGTATAGTGCAAAAAGCTTTGAAATCTAGTAAAAACATTTTATTATTTCCTAAACAGATGGCAGCGTAGACACACAGTACATGTTGTTTTCACTCATCAACAGCTCCATAAATGAAGCCCAGTGATGCAGAGACAACAAACTTAATGGACTCAATATGCTGCCTTATGTAAAGATGTTTTCTCATAAATGCCGACTTTGTCATTTATGGTTTGAGATAATAATTTAAAATATTGCAATGAATTCACTAAATAATATAAAGTAATAAATACATTGTGTGGGCAATGCAAAGAACTGAAAACTAACATGACAACAATAAGTGGCCACTTTTCTACCCTCACTGTGACTAGCAAACATCACCAGTAATGAAACCAACTGAGACAAACAAATGGAGAATCAAGGAGCAGTGGGAAAAAAACACACAGACACAGACACAGACACACACACACACACACACACACACAAAAATAAAGAAAAGTAAGAATTATAACAGGGCAACAATTACTTAAGATCACATGTGGCATGAACTATCCCCACACCCTTGTTTTTTTATGTTTTGTTTGTTTCTTTCTTTCCTGTTCTGTGTTCTCATGCTCACATTTACACACCCACATGCAGAGGGCGCCAGAAGGCCTTAGAATAAAATATACACCACGTGCCAAAAACAGACCATTCATAAATGAGTTGCCATGTTTACATAAGTCAAATGCTGTGTTTGTTTATTGTTTTGTCTCAGATGAGGAGGACGGGACTTCTGCAGCCAATGGAGGTCACAGACTACCAAGGAGTCTCGGTAAGCAAACCAACAAAAATTTATTGTATATCATGAAAGAGAGCTATTTCTCTCATGTAGCTTGTTTGGATCTTTAAAATGCATTCCCATGGTATGTTTGACAATGAATGCATCAGTTTTTGAGGATAAATATCTCTCAGTTCATACTCATAAATAGGTTAATCCAAGGTTGTAGTGCTGGCATGGAGGATTCCTGATTTTCCTCATGAATGTAAAAGTACTCCATCCTCATTAGTGGAGGACTGTGGGTTGTGCTCGGGTCCGCCTTCCTGGGAGTTGATTAATGTGACAAGTATGGTTTTAGTGACACGGTAAAATTCTTCCCATTAACCTTTTTTCGCTATCACGATGAAGCAGATGTCTGAATTAATAGACACCAATCTTCAACAGTGTGGGTGACTTTGCTAGATTCCCTCTAGTCTGATGAGATATTAATGACCCTACATTAATCCTCATGTAAACTAGGCCCAATATCTTGTCTGTGTCCTTGCGTGTTAATACAGATTCCTCTAACTGAACACTGAACATTTGTAAACTGAGGAATTAAATGTTCTCATTCCTCATGTTTTCAGTACAATGCAACAGCAAAGCCTGACTAGAAGAAGTTGTAGCATATCTGCTCATTTGAAATGCATGAGTTTCGCATTGTAATCCGCCTGGATGCTCTGGAACAGCTAGAAACAGGCTGTAGTGCTAATGCAGGATAGTTGTAGGTGAGCTGCATAAATCATAACCACTGTTGTATAAAATGGTAAACTGGGCTTCAGTGGCGAGAGCTCCTTAACGCACTCTCCCATAAATACACATGCAAACAAGCTAGGTGAGCTACTGTGGATTAATGAGTAAGCTTAATGGAATTGAAAGTAATTATGCCTCTCATATTTGCCAGATGCTCATCTCTAGGCAACTTGAGAAGGTTTTAGTTTCTGAGGCAAATCATGAGGAGTCCCATGTGCATTTTGATTTCTGTCTTTTACTCACAAATGCATACACAAAGGGAAGGGGTTATTTGTCTTAATAGTCAAATAGAGCAAAAGATAATATTTAAAAGGAAGTATGCGGTACTAATGCTAATACTAACAGTAGTACAACCAGTCCTCCTCACACATATGGATGGATTACTGGACAGTGCTACCGGACACAGGCCCAGCAACATGTCACAGAAAGTGACACAAAACATCTGGAGATGTACAAACAACTGCAACAAGATGTAGAAATAACTTTTACATGTCTGTGCCTTGACTCATTCATGCTCACAGTCATCTCTCATCCCTCAGACGCCCAGCCAGCTCAGCAGGCTCAGTGTAAAGTTCGTACAGAGGTGGTTGAGGTCACCAGGGCAATGTTGGACCGTAGCAACGCTAACTTCCTGTTATGGCCGCCCTGCGTCGAGGTGCAGCGCTGCTCTGGCTGCTGCAACACCAAGAGCCTGCAGTGTGTCCCTGTTGTCACGCACACCAGATACTTACAGGTAAACAACCACATGCACAGAAACATACAGTACACAAATGTCAAAACATTTACATCTACAACATCCCAGAAAGGCCGCGCTATGTTTGTGTTGTACTCTTCTGACTCCCATCCACTGCTCTTCTCCTCTCCAGGTCATGAAGATCGAGTACATCAACAAAAGACCCACTTACGCTAAAGCCGTGGTGTCAGTGGTTGATCATGTGGAGTGTCGTTGTCAGCCCACTCCACGTTCCCCAGTGCCCAAGAAAAAGTCATCTCGCAGACAGCACAACCACCAGCATCGAAACCAGACACTCAGCCAAGAATACGGACACGGACAGGTACAGGATGAATGCTATATTGCATGCTACCTGCTGTTGGGTGAATGCTTTGACATGTGTCTCTGTGTGTAAACACATAGTAGCTTTGTTAAATTTTGTGTAAATGCCTAGAACACAGCATGTACATTAACTCAATAACTTCAATGCATTTAAATGTATAGGACTAATATTGTATTTGGGCATCAATGAAAAAAAGCTGAGACTTTTGAATTGAATTTTGTTGAATTGTATTAAAGGTCAAGGTGCACTCCAAGGATGAACTCCATCAGTGGGATGAGTTGAAGCAGAACCAGAGGGTCCACCTGGAGGACCTCCTGGAGCAGCACTGGAACCCCAGAGGAGACACCTTCACTCAGCCTGGAGAAGGGTACAGCCTGGCTGGGGAGGACACATCTCGCTCTGGAGAGGCTATTCTTTTTGGCCCACACTGGGTACATAACTCCACCAGGCACCATGGGACTAAAGACCAAACCGAGAATCCGGAGAATGTGGAGAGGAAGAATGGTAAGATCTCAGATGGCAACAAGACTGTTTCCTCAGTGGATAATGTTAGCGTTGAAGTAAAGAACAAGTTGGTAGAAGGTGGGGATGGGTTGCTTCTGAACAGAACTGAAGAGGAAGTTAATGAGGAAAACGGGAGGGACGAAGGCACACAAACACAGAGTCCATTACGGCAAGAAGACAAATCCAAAATTTCAAAGAGCCACACAAGTGGTTTCTCTCACCCTGTTACCCAGAATCCTCAAGCCAAGTTCACTCCTACTGAGGTGACCAGTGAGAGAGCTGGGAGCAGGTTCCGACCAACCAAAGAGCCGAATCCAGAGCCCCGAGAACAGGCAAGACGGAGAGGCAATGAGACTCCTGAGGAGGTGAGGATATTACAGATTGAGGAGGAAAAACTGGAGCAGGAGAGAAAAGAGCTTCTACTTCTCCACAAGAGGCTGGACCAAGAGAAGGAGATGCTGAGACAGCAGCAGATGAAACGAGAAGAGGAGGAAAGGCAGAAAGAAAAGGACATGGAACGTCAACAGCACCTGCATGGTAAACATAACCATCACCTGCAAACGACAACAACACAGAAACCAGGTAATGGACATTATTGAATACTCTGGGTTAATGAATACACCTAAACATTTTTAAAAGAGTGTAATACCTGAAAGGTTTTGTTTATTTTTTAGTAATATGTAAATCCTGTTCTGACAGTGACAACATCTACGTCTACCACGCGACAGCCATCAGCTCCAGCAGGCCCCAGGCCTCAAGCCCGTCCAAAGAGGAAGATGAGGAAGAATCGCAAACGGATCAGCAAGGCAGCTATGAGAGCAATGCTAATGTAGAACTAAAACAAGCCCAGGTGAGTTCACAGAACTATTTAAAGCAGCAACAAGAACCTTTCATTTTCTGCTGATTCTTGGGCCCCTGGCAAAAGTGGCAGTGTTTCCACCTCCTCGCTCCGGCATTAAGAATAACTGTATAGAAATAGCCAACGCTATCGCTGATGGTCTTGTGTGCTTATGTCTTATGGAAGCACCAGTATTCAATTGAGACTGTTTTATAACCTGTTAAAAACTCCTTATCGAATATTTAAATAATAAAGGAAAAAATACTGAATCAGTGTATGAACCAAAGAATTTTGAATAAGCGAATGTAATATTTCTATTTACTGATGATTAATGCCCTTTTGAAATTTAAAGTACACCCTCCTGTGTTTTCCCCTCAGGCACACAAAGTGAACTTGGTGTATTTTGTGGATCCAGAGGTGAAGCAGAGTGACTCCCTTCATATAAGTATTTATTCACTTGTCAGTAACCTGCTCGTCCTGTGAGATCTCCTCCATAACACTACTAATGTCTGTCTGGTGAACCTGTAACTACGCCTGTCTGGAGTAGGAGGAGGGTAAGAAGAAAATGGAATATAAATAGAAGGTGGACCTTGTCAAGAGAACACTTGCCTCTACACCGACAGTTGGCTGGTATGAAGTAACGAGTGGCACTCGAAGACTGACAAATTGTGTGCAAGCACAGTACTTGTGGGGGACTGAAACTGCATCGCTGTAGAACTGTGGAAAATAGTGCAATTTCAAAACTCTTCTGGAAGCCTTGTTTTGATATCAACAAGAGAAACTGCACTTATACGTTGACAGAACCAAGTCAATATGGGGTTTAAATGACACAGTTTGTTTGCTGAAAGACTTTCTCATAACCACAATCAGACTGGACTACAAAGTGCATTTGGTGGCAAAATGGACATAAAAATGGGCACAACTCTCTTGTGCCATTGAAGAATCTGTTATATTGTGTTTGGATAATCTTAGAGACAATCATCAATAGATTCAGCAACAAGTAATGTTGACTAAAATGAGCAGTATTTTCATGTGTGACAGAAGTCAAATACTGAGGGCTCAGTGTTGGGAAGATAAAGCTGTGTAGATTTACCGTACCAAGGCCTGATATCATTTATTAGCAAAACAGCAATGGTCTCTCTTTAACCATATTTAATTATATTTAATTAAATGCAAACACTGGAATCATACAGATGCGATTTGAGAACAAAAACATAAAATGTTGCATTAGGGAGTTTTGTCTGTTTCAAAATCTCATCACAGGTGTGAAGAAAAAGGTGCTATCTGAATACAGGTGATAGCATTCCACTTGTGACCTGACATTGTGCTATGTTTCTTATTTATTTATCTCTACCATTACTGTGGATTAACTTTCTATACAAATACTGCAAACAAGGTGACAGATGTGGTTGAGATATGTAACAATGGCTGCGTGCAAAACAATCAAAACCCTTCTGTGACTTTCCCAGGATCATGCAGTGTTTAACTTCTATGTTAAAAAGTGTGCATGTGTGTTGTATAGTGAGTGTATGGGCTTTAGTTCACGCCGCCTACACTTCTTATGCATCTCAATACTCATGTAGAAGAATCTATCTGTTTCTCGTCGTCTCTTTCTCTCTTTGATAAAGACGTGTGTCTCTTCCCCCGATTGCTTTTTGGTAGAAACAGTCACATTGGTTTTAAACTCTGAGAGGAGGGGAAAGAACATTATTTTTCTTCAAGTCCCCCCACCGTATTTGTTTTATTAATCTACAACACATTGTTTTCAACATTTAATTTACAGGAAACTATCATCAGTAGGTAGTCACTTAAAAGGACAGTAAAGTGTCAAAGATTGCAAATGTAGATATTGTTTTTATGTCCTTTATATTTCAGACAACACGTTTAGAAATACACTGGTGATGCATTTTGTGTCCAATAATCCATAATCAACCAAACATCTTAAGTTATTGAAAAACATGGTTTGTACGCTCTTCATGCCAACTTACAACTGTTACTGATTTTGTCTGTTTTACTATAAGATATGATGAAAAAACAGAATGTTTGTGATAACGTTGCCACCTAATGCTATTTTCATATGGCTATAAGAAGCTAATGTGCTTAAATCTACTTCTGTTTTGTGTTTTTATTCATTTTCACCAATTTTCCTTCATGAATTTGCTTCCAAACGGCCAAAGATTTGTAATGTAATTTGTAAATTTGAACGCAATTCACTGTCACTGGGCCAACAATGAATGTCAGCACGTGATGAGCACCAAACAAATTAAGCAAAACTGATCTCAACAAAACGTAGAGCCTACAGTCATGGTAGCGGCTCAGTGCGGTTCTGATTGGGCACAGCAGTGCTTTGAGCTAAATGCTAACATGCTCACAATGACAACGCTAAGGTGCTGATGATGTTCAGCATGTTAAACGTCTTAGTATAGTGTGGTAGCATGCTAACATTTTCTAATTAGTACTAAGGATAAAGTACAGCTGAGGCTGATGGGAATGTTGTTAGGTTTGCAGGTATTTACTGAATATTTTCACCTGATGATTGAACTCCATGAAAAGTTAAGGGATCGCTGCGGTTCATCCTAAGGGGCGCCATGAAGGTGTTTACCAATTTTCATGGCAAGTCATCCAATAGTTGTTAACATATTCAGCTTAAAGTCAAAATGTCAACCTCATGGTGGCGCTACAGCAAAAGTCAGAGGATCACAAAGATCCTTAGGATTCAAAACAAACCTCTGCTTACAGTGTGCACAGCTTTACAACTCAACTGCCCAGTTTACATGAGGATTCACATGAGATTTCAAGGCTGGACACAGCGGGTGTTTTTGTAAAACATATTTCAAGTTATAAAGATAAAATCTGACTTTTTATGACACCATGAACTCTCTGACTTTTTTACCACCTCATGAGCCCAGGTGGATTTATTTACTAAGCCTGTTTGGCATGCTGTGTCTACACAGTGCATCTGCAGCTCTCCAGAGACAACATATTGACTCCTTAAATTTGAGGGAGAGTTCAGCACTGCACAATGAGGTTTGTTCAATCTGACAAAAGAGAGAGAGAGAGAGAGAGAGAGAGAGAGAGAGAGAGAGAGAGAGAGAGAGAGAAAAGTAAAGTGGGGGTTGTCGTGCTGTAGGTGAACTCTGGCACACACTCTCTTTGTGGTTTGTGTGTCACATTTACCCCCTTGACTCTTGGCTGCAAAAAAGCCCCAACTCAGCAGCCAGCTGCACAGTTATGTCTGCTAATTATTGAGTCAAGAACTCATCTGCTCCCCTGTCTAAATGGAATCATACGAGGAATGGCTTTGAAGCATAATAAATGCTAATACCCTCAGATTTAACCCTCTTTAAAATAAAGGGGGCTTATTTACGTGTACATAGTTGTCTTCACACAGTTTGGGCTTAAAGAGCCACGTTCTTCATCTGAACTTCACATAATTTGCATAAGTCTGTGCCAAATTTTGCAAAAAGCTATATAGCACCTGTGTCTCACCCTTAATCCCCCCTGCATGTGACTCCTTCAATTCAGTGTGTATTCACGCATCACTTCCCGTTGCCCTACTGTCAATCTCACACAGACGTACTACTTCTAAACAGCAGACCATCTCCAAATTCAGCATGGAGGTGGGATGCCTGTTTTTCAACGGGTGTCCGAGCAGCTCCCCACCCCCCACGGACTTCAAGAGGAGTGCGTGGAGGCATGTTGACTGTGACAAACACACACAGGCATGCTCACGCTCATTCAAACACACACAGGGGTCAACCACCATGACAGTGTGGGAGGGTCTCTGAGGGACCAGGCTGTGACTAAAGACACGAGATGGTTCATAGCTGACTGGTTGACCTTAAAAGACGAAATGGCTTGTTGGGCCTCAACAACACTGTTACCTAACCAGCAAACAAGCACTGGAACAATATAATGACCCATCGTGGCCCGAACCTGAAGAACAATCTAACAAAGACCAACCTTACTATGAACCATGACCCAACCATTATCATTACTTCCATCATTAGTTCCAATCCAGTCACATGATAGTAACTTGGGATTCATTGGTGGTTTGTTCCTTGGATTTACATGCACACTGCACTGTTGGCAACTTTTTAAAACCCCAAGAATTCTGAATTCATTACAACTATGTCCCAAAGGACTGTAACTGTCCTCTGGGCACCGTCACCTTATAGCCAGAATCTCCTGGATATTTGCTTGGTTATTCGATTATTTGGCAAGTCAGCTGAACTGGAATCAAATTGCTCTTAAATGTAAGTGTGACCTTGTCTCTTGTATGGTGCATGGTGGGACACGCTAGGATGAATAGGATTTCTGTTCTTTCATCTTTTTTATTTTAGGCTGTCCCCATATATCTTCAAAAACAACTAGTTTATATGATGTGTTGTCCAACATCTAACGGCAAAAGCATTTACAACAGTACCGAACGGCCACGCTCAAAGGTAGGGTAAAAAAGGCGGGATCATAAAGAGTATGCAAGACACACACGCAAAACATTAAAAGTTGTGGTGCGGAGGGGTCTTCCAGTATTATATTGTTCAACCATCCAACAAGCACTTCAGTTGGAGCATACTTGTGCCTTTCTCATGTTGTGGGGAATAATCTCACTTTTAAATCATGTCCCCCAAAGACTGGATTTAAAGTTTGGTTACGGTTAAGATAATGGTTTGGGTGAAGCGTGAAGTGGGTATGGTTAAGGCTAGAGTCGGTCTCTAGAGAATTAATGAATGCAGTGTCCTCTTAAATGATGGAGACAAAATTGTGTAATTTGTGAAATCAGGCACTGAAACATGTGGAGGACCTCTGGGAATGTGCATCCATGCAGAACAGGAGCAGCCTCAATGTTACTTAACTAAAAGCCTGTTTAAGCTTCAGTCTTTTCTCTCCTCTCGTCTCAGCAATAGTCAGTGTGATCAAGCCTCACTGCAATTTCAATAAAACACTACCTCTATTCGAGGTCTCCTCCATCGGCGTCGAGCTGATGATTACTCATCTGTGGTATTAAAAAATGCTTTGGTTTATGAGGACAGATCTCAGACTTTTAGAGGAAAATAATGGAAAATGTATGTATTAACATGTCACCTATTTCATCTCTCATCCTGTCCAAGCTCAGTGATAAGATAATATAGTGCTTAAAAAGAACAACAAAAATATTTAAGAAACGAAACCAAAGAACAACGACATTATACTAACCAGACGGTAAGCATGTATTTGTCTCTTAGAAGACATATCTCTGTCTGTGTTTCGGTATGGCCTGGATTCCCTGATGTCCACTAGTGAGGAAACAGAAGGCCTTTGAACAGGAGGTTACACAAGCATCCGTGTGGCGCCACGCACTCCCTACACCTTCCAGCACTTTTATTTTCCTGTTTTTATGTACGACAAAGGACAGGGACATGCTGTACACAGATGACCACACAAGCCTGTCATCAAGCACATACACACTAACTCTGGTCTTTCCATCAACTCCCACCTTTGTCCTTTATCTGTTCTTTTTTCACTGATCAAGATCAATATGAATCTCTCACTCATTCACTCACTCAAAGCACCCTCCCCCCTCCAGGGAACAATAGCCCTCTGACGGTGACTGTGAGGAATGTGGCTGTTTTTTGGGGCTGAGCATCTGAAAAGCCAGGAATGCTGGGAAAACACATCAAATCACCTTCCCCTCGCCTTCCACTTGCCATGGCCAAGGACAAGAGAGTGCCTTAGCGTTTTCTCGGGCATCATGACTCAGTTGGTGTGTGTCAAACTGCTCTTCAACCTCAGCAGACAGGAAGTTGTACCTAGCGATGGGCTGAAAACACAGGAAGTTCGATATCAGCATGCCTGGAATTCCAGCATTGTGTTTTCACCGCAGAGACAAGAACGACTTATGCATTGCTCAAGCACAATATGTTCATGATATGAATGTCTTACAGTAAGAATGCATGGCAACCTCTATGTATTACATACTCACAGAGACCCTGAATACTCTGCACAACGCTGTCAGGTTAGACAGATGTGCAGATAAACAGAGCAATAAATTAGATAACAGTGTGAATTTGTCTGTGTGAGAGAAATAGAGTGAGAGTCTAGCTATACATAGTTTGGCAGACTCAGTGATATCTACATCTGGAGCTATCAGCTGCCAAATTACTGTACATACATGTCTAACCTGAAAATGTGGCACCTGACATTAGGAAAAAACAGTTTTAAGCAAAATACGAGGGGTAGAAACTGCTACCACCTTACAGGTGTGTTTGTCATGGCTTTGTAAGTTGTTACGTTGTGTAATTTCTCACGTGTGTACTATTGTGAATTAGAGAAAGAGACGAGAGAGAGAAATTAGTACAAGGCATGACAACTACAATACCATAAGTTCTAATGCTAAGTGTGATGTGACTGCAAGAATTATGCCATAGAAATGTATAATTTCTGTGTGAACACATTCTTAAATTTACATTAATTACTCCAGAGTGAAACAAAAGCTAAACAGAGATATATTTAATTTGTATTTATTGCAGGACAGCTGTATCAGACTACATTAGTTTTAGCTACCTAATAAAGACTGAAAACTTTAAATGCTAGTGTATGTTTGTGTGTATGTGTTTGTGGTGTGTAAGCCATTCATAAAGCACAGACAAATATTATTTGTGACAATTTTACTATCACAATACAAAAGTGCAGCAAATATTTCACATTTTCACATTACACTCATTCATAGCTGAATATCAAAACATACATATACTGTAAATAACACAAGCTGAAGGACATGGCATTCCTGAAAAGTAACTTTAACATATTTCCAGTACGTTGTCCTCTCATTTTAAATGATGCCTTGAACACAACATAGCAGTATCAGCACATCAGCATGTAGATAACATATATTCAGTAACACATAAGCTACAACATTGACAACAAGGTCCTAACTTACCCACCCCTGTGCAAACGTGCATACATGACCACAGTGAACATGGCAGTCAGCAAAGTCACGCACTTGTTTCTCCATGAAATGCAGCTGTCATAATTCTGCTTTTTACCTCAGCAGTGATGGAAGAAATTAGTTTGAGGAAGTAATAAAAATTACAATATTTCAACACAGTTCTTGAGAATCTGTGGATACA